CCCCCCCCCGCAAGAATCAGATGCCCCAAAACATTTATAACCCATTTCCTTCTTTTTGGAGAGGAACGGAGAAGGTCAATGTTACGTAGCCTAGTGAATTAATGAACCTCCTTTACTGCTGAACCCACAAAACTCCCAACTCATTCAACACCTTGATGTTTATTCCCTAAGTTTGCCCTCTAGGATTTTATTCTGGTTGATGTGGCCCTTTCTAAGCATTCTGGGGTCCTCTGTCTCACCTGCCTATAAACCACCAGGCAGGGACAATGGTCTCCCTATCAGGCAGGGGGCTCCCTGAGGCTGGGAAGTGTTTCCTCTGGAGCACTTCCGAGTGCTCAGGGGATGACTGATTGCCTGTGTCCCAGCAGCCAAGCAGTTACCTCATACAAGAGAACTGATGAAGAACCTGGGACCCAATTCTTCTCCAACTCGGAAGACACATAGATTTGGGTCCTTGGGATCATGACTGAGTAGGGAGAGGGTGTCTGCGTTCAGGCTGAGCTTTTCGTCCTTACCTGTGTTGCAAATCTGTTTTCCCGTTCGAGGGTAGGGTCCAGGGCTATAGTATTGCCCTTGGCAATTCTGGAAAGGGCCTCCTGGCCTGCTGGTGTGACAGCTGCCTGGCAGGGTGCAGAGCCCAGGCCATTCCTGCTCTCTGCCCTATACTGGAGAAGAAGCCCATCACTGTTCATTCATTTATTGAGCTCCTGTTATGTTCTGGGCACAGGAGACAGAGAAAGGGGAAGACTCAATCCTGCTAGGCAGTGAAATAAGAGCTCTTGAATGCTAAGGGAGGGCAAGGTCACTCCAGCTTGAGATTGTGACGACAGTGCACACTTATGCACAACCACTTCTTGAGACCACAGGTCCTGGAAGGAACCCCACTGAGTTCATTGTGAGCCTGGTGGGACATGCTAGTCAGTGCTGAGCACAGGACACACACACAGGAGAGAGTTGGCTGGCCTGGCTGGCCGGTCAGCTGTAACGTCCAGGTATGAAGAAGGGGTTTCATTCTCTGGGAGGCATGCAGCGGGCTCTCACTCTGATCCATGGTCCTCGTGTTCTCTGCCTGGGAAGAGTTATGTACATGGACAGTGGTTAGGGGAGCCTTGCCTGGCTCCCCCACGGAGGCCTTCCCTACTCCGCGTAAGGCCCTCCATTTCCCTAGCTCATGTTTCTCCGGCTGCAGATATCTGGGTTGATCAAGTTACAGGCTCACTTTCCATATCTTCCATTATTCAGCCCTACGTGCCTCCAGAGCATGGGCAGAGCTAACCCTCAGTTATCCTGCCTAAAGGAAGAGAAGTGGTATCCAGTATTTAAAATCCCCAAGGCCCCCCAAGGACATGGGAAGTGCCTTGGACAGGGAAGAGGAGACACAGCTTTTAGTCCTGGCTCTGTTATTAGCTCACTGTGTGACTGTGGGCACGTTGCTTTCCATCCCTGAAAGATGACTTAGCTTCCTTGCCCATACTCTGCACAAGGGACATTCATTTCCATTTGGGTATTGGGGTGACTTCCATGGCCATTCAAATGGAGTGGCTCACTTAGGAAAAAATCGGGGCTGGGGGAGATAGAGGATTTCCCCATCTTTATTCCCAAGAGCCTATGTTGGGAGGAGTAGGTATTCTGTTAGGAAAGTGAGGGGGAGAGGGGTCCAGAAGTCTGCAGCTCCTGGGGCAGGGGTCAGGCATCAGCAAAGGCATCCTGGAGCTCAGGATTTCTGACCGACTGGGATGCCCCTGCCCTCTGTCTTGTTTTGGCTTGAGCTTTCGATCTTTCCCCCAGATTGATTTATTTATCTACTTTCATGCCTGTTCATTTACTGAGCACCCTTGGACCCTTTAGGGTGTGGTGTTAGTTGATTAACTGCTTAGGGTGTTGCCCATCCCAGGGTGATTTACACTTATGTACAATTGTTGACGACAGAAAATGTCTTAAGACTAAAGGCACAACTTTCTAATGATCAATGATTAGTGAGGGAAAGGGGGATGCTCCAGGACCTGGGAAACCACATCATTCTCTGTGGCTTCTGCTGGCCCTGAGGGCAGAGGGCAGAGTGCACCTGGGTGTGTTGGGGGTGGGGAGGGTGCAGCTTCAGGCCAGGATCATCAAAGGGACGGCCTCCCTGTACCTCAACTGCTTTCTTCTGTGGGGCTTTGCCTGCTGGCTTGTGGGGAGCCTGTTCTGACTGTCCAGCGGCCTGGCCCCCGCCATGGAGACTGACAGCAAAGTATCTGGTCACTTTCTCGAGATGCCCTTGCAATTCACTGGAGGCTCTCACCTACCTTCTGTAGATGGTCCTCTCCTGTGTAGGAGGTCCTGGCCCATCTGTCCTCATTGATGCCCTGGTGATGGAGAGAGAAGAGACAGAGAAGAAAGAGGGAAAATGCAGTAGAAGAAGGTTGTCTTGGGAACCAAGAAGGGCAGGGATGGGGCCAGAGTGGGGGCTTCATAAATGGAGTCATTTTTCAATCACTCTGAGAGTTGAGGAAAACCGTGGATTGGTTCATTCACTCACTGATTCATTCATTGATTCTGCTTTCTCTTCCATTCTCCCTCTTTTGTCCTTCCTTCCACAAACACCCAGTGGAAACTAGCTAGGTGTTGTGGATACAGAGGAGATGAGAGCTGCAGCCTGACTGTGGCAGGCTTTCCACTCTAGGGACCCCAGCCATGTGACCCAGCAGGACGGTGCGGTATGCCAAGGGCAGCATCATGCCCAGGCCATAGAGACAAGCTCTGTCTGGGTAGGGCAGGTGGTCAGGGAAGGAGAAATGGGGCTACAAGTCAAGTCGGCAAGGCGGCCCCCGAGGAAGCAGTGAGTCCTTAAGGGATTGGCCTTGATCCTGAGAGGGTGAGGGGTGAAGAGATAGAGGGTGGGTAAAGGTTGGCTGCTTTTCTTTTGGTTTTGGTTTTCATTGTTTTAGGCTGCTCAGATTTGCACTTTTAAGATCCTTGAGGGTGTGAGGTGGGAAATGGATTAATTTTTCTAATTCCAGGCTTTAGGTAAAAGTTACCCAAGGTAATTTTGAACCTTTGGCAGAACCGAATCACCCCCTTCCTTATCCCTGCACCTACTCCCTGGGCATGCACAGACCACTCCTCTGAGGAAACAACCGGGAAGCTGAGCACGTGGCCAGACCACACTGGCCCCACCCTCGGCAATGCCAACCCAGCATGTGTGCCCCTAGCCAGAGCTTCTCCCCCCACCTCCCTGACTTGTTGGAGGCCCGGACAACTCAACCCTCCCCAGGGAGCATGCTGAGGGAAAGGTCTGGACAACACTGACCCATTTTTCTCTCTATATGGATAGGAGGTATTCCTGGGGGAAAGAGAAAGAAGGAATGAGGGCTGCACCGGTTCCCTGGGTCTCAGTGACACAGGAAGAGCTCATGGCTCTTTGGGGCTCGATGCCTGTGTTGGGTCTTCAGTGGAATTCCAGGGACTCTCCATTGTCCTCCTGTGGCTGAGCCACTTGGCTGCTCCTGCCAGGAGGCAGTGTGAAGGAGTGGGAAGTCGTCGGCACCTGGCACCAGCTGGGCATCCTTGTAAAAGCATTTAACCCATCTGAACCTTAGTTTCCTCACTCATTGTGAAGAGGCTATCGTTGCGAGATTTAATCATATGTGGGCGTAGTAGGTGCTCAATAAATATGTCTCTTATACTCCTGTCCCCTGCTTCTCATGGGCTGTTGGGTTTGGAAGAGAACTCTGAAATGGCCCAGTCCAAAACTCATTTTGTTGAGGAGGAAACTAAGGCCAAAAGTGTTTGGTCACAAGTTGGTTTTCTCTATTTTTATATGCATAGTTTTAATTATAAAAGCAGTCTTTGAATACTTGTCCACTATAAAAAAGAATCAAGTAATGTAGAGGCTTGTACAGTAAAAATTAAAGTCCCTCTACTCTCTCTCCCTCACCTCCACTTCCTGTTCTAGATATAATCACTGTTGACAGTTTACTAATTATCCTTCTAAAACTTTCCCTATGCATGTGTATGTATGTTTGTGAGTGTGTCATTTTTAAAAAAACAAGTAGGCTCCTGTCATACATATTGTCATATAACTTGCCTTTTCCACTTCACTGGAATCCTGGAGATCATTCTGTATCTTTCCACAGATCTGCCTCATCCTTTTCAATGGCCACAAAGACTGTGGGTGTGCCTGATATATTCTGATCATTCCTTTACTGGTGGTTTTTACGTTATTTCTAAATTCTTGCTATTACAGACAAGTTGTCAATGAATGCTCAGGTACAGTCTCAGGGCTCACCTGATAGATTCCCTGAAGTGAAACTTGGAAAAAGGCATGAGCATTTCCAACTTTGATGGCCACTGTCAGCATTTCCTCCAAATAGGTTATAAAAGTGCCAGGTCCTGCATACCCTCACCAACACCACTTAAAAATATATATAATGTTGACAGTAAGAAAGAAAACTGCTCTCTGTCCAGACTATTTTATCATTGTCCCCCCTCAGGGAACACAGGTTCATTTTAATAATTCTATTCAAAACAAACAGAACTAGAAAGCTTGGCCTGTGACTTCGCTCACATCTAGATGCTGATCTGTAGCTCCGCCACCACTCTCCAAATCCATTCATAGAATCGAAGATAAGGACACCAGCAGGCGCAAAGCATTTGCTTCTACGCATAGGGTGACTATGTTCCGTGTGCCAGAGACAGCCCAGGTTTTCCTGGCATGATTAATATTCTCCGAAGTGCCCTGGTTTGGATGATAATGATGTGGACGCCCTGCCCCACCCCATAGCGTGAGCGACCCCTGCTGGCCTGGAGTAACGCACTCTGAGTCGGGGCTTTAAGCCGGGACCCCTGCTTGGTGCAGCAACCCGCGCAGAGTCACTCCGCCATGGGCACTGCCCACCTTTGTCACTCACCTTCCCACCTTCTTCCCCATCAGCCCAAAGAACTGGCTCTCTTTGCCCCTCTTCACCTCCTGAAGCTGGAGCCGAATGCTGGGGACAACACCTTCCTGAAAAAGCAGAGATTGTTAGAGTTAGAGTTGGAGGAAGCTGGCGAGAAGGAGACAGGGAGGGCCGCCTGACCAGGAACAGTTTCAAGCTTGGCCAGGGTGGCTCAGTGGTGGAGCACATGCCTGGGTTGCAGACTCCATCCCCAGTAGGGGGCATGCAGGAGGCAGCCAATCAGTGACTCATCACTGATGTTTCTCTCTCTCCCCCTCCCTTCCTCTCTCTGAAATCAATAAAGAATATTTTAAAAATTAAAAGATAAAATAATAAAATGTTTTTAAAAACCAGTTTCAATAACACTTGCTCTGTGCTGGCACTGGGCTCTTTTGCATATTTTACACAATACTATGCAGTAATAATAATTTATAATCAACATTTCACCTCCTATGTTCCTGGCTCTGTTCTAAGCACTTAAACATATTAATTCCATTTAATCCTCACCCAAACCCCATGAAGTAAGTACTATTATTGTCACCATTTTATAGATGAAAGCACCGAGGCACAGAGAGATTGAATAATTTGTCCAAGGTCACCAGCTAGGAAATGAGAGATGACACCAGGACTTGAAGCTGTCATCTGCCTCAGAGGCTCGAACACAACAGTCATAATTTCATTAACTCTTCAAACCACCATAGGAAGCAGGGACTATGATTTATACCCATTTTGTAGATGGGGAAACTGAGTGCTATGGAGGTTAGGTGATTTGTCCAAGATCACACAGAAAGTGGTAGATCCAGGATTTAAACTCAGGAAGTCTGGCTCCAGAGTCTGGGTTCTGCTCCACCTTGGGAAATGTCTCCAACATAGATGAGGAGGGGCAGCTGATGGACTCAGGGTGGGCACCCAATAGGCAAGGTGAGACCAATTCCTCTCCTAACCCCACTCTGGTCTCCTCTCTTCCCCCAGTATCCCCCCATTGTCCCAGATTTATCCCACCCTGGAGCCTGGGCCTCCCATGAGGAACATGACACGTGGCCTGGGTGGAGGCCATGACTCTGGGCAAAGACATTTTCGTTCTTGAGCTAATGTGGTGAAAGTTCTGGCCAAAGTTTTCTCCCTGGAGCTCCAGGAGCCAGCAGGGGCCTGGCTGGCATGCAGAGGAAACCCCTGTACCTCTCATAGTTCATTTCGTCCCAACTTTCAGGAGCAGGAGTGGATTTTTTTCTAAGACTTGGACTAATTTAGTCACTTCCAATCTGTGTCCTCCCCAGGATGTCAGTGGCTGGGGCAGCTGTCTTGGGCTGGAGTCGCCTGCCTGGCCAGGAACCAGAAAAATATCTGGAGATTTGGACCCATTTCTGAAAAGCTCATGAAAACCACTTTGCCCTGGTAAAAGGCAGCTGTCAAATGCCGGCTGGGGAGAATGACTATAAATTAAATAAGATTCACCTTTCTCTCACCCACTGTGTTTCTGGGGAGCCCTTAGGAGTCATCCTTCCCTTTCACTCTGGAAGGACTCCTGCCTCCCTCTAAGCCTTCTTTTTATTCATTTAACCCAAACCACCCTTGAAAGCACTGAGGAATAACTGCAGGCAGGGGACACCTGAGAGCTAGGGAGGTGATCAGTTGATCCCTGACAGTGCTTCCATTCCTTCTGTTACCTTACTCATCTTAATGGTTCCTATATTCTAAGCGCCGTGTCTCGGGAAGTGGAGGGATGTTAAATGAGAGTGAAGGAGACTAAGCCATAGACCTGGCTGCAGGGTGAGGTGCCTGCAGGTGGAGAGCCCAGCAGCACCAGTTGAAGTTGATGATGCTTCCGTGTGGCTGCGTAGAGAGCTCCCTGTCACAGCTTGGCTGCCCTGTGCCTGGGTCAGGTCCCCTGATGTTTGGCAAGACTCTGTAAAGCTTGGGAAATACTCTGGGGATTAGGGTATTTCTCCCCATTTTACAGGTGAGGAAACTGATGTCCAGAGAGTAGCAGTGACCTTCCCAAGGTCACATGGAGTCAGTGGAGAAGCCGAGACTTGAACCCAGGCCTCCCCATCCTGTTGTCTTCTCAGCTGCACACACTTGCACGTTCAGACAAACCAGGAAGGAAACCACCACAAATGGCTGTTCATTCGATGGCTGATTCTGTGGCCCCAGTGTCCTCACCATCCTGGGACTAGGAGCCAGGCTTGGCCTTGTCCCACTGTCCCCCTCCTGGAAGGCTTCCCTGAGCACTGGTCCTGCCTTCTCTGGCCTGTTGGTCTCTCTCCCCCATCTGATTAGAAGTCCCCCAAGATCAGGATCTTTGTCTCCCCTACCACACGGGGTGAGGTGCAGGTGCTAGGCCTCTAACCTCTCGATTTGTCCCTGTCAGCACTGTCAGTCTAGTAGAAGAGATTGGCAGTCAAACCAGAACTTGTCAGGAAATGAGGATTTCTACATTGGAGACAAAACAGTGATCCTGCCCAAGTCGCTCCCTTTGAAATTCTAGAAAATGTCCTCTGACACCCAGATACATAGGATCAGACCTTGGGCGAGGCGTGCAGTTTTGCTTTTGAGGGTGCGCAACCTGAGACAAACTACTTGACCTTTCTGTGCTTGTTTCTTCATCTATGAAATGGTACTTTCCCCATAAAGTTGATATGAGAATTAAATGGGTTAATGTTTATGAGGCATTTAGGACATATATGTTAAATAAGTGTTAAATTCTCTCTCTCTCTCTCCCCCCCCCCTCTCTCTTTGTCACTCCCATAAGCATGCGCCCTTTAAAGCTCAGGCAGTCCAGGGGCCATGGCCTTGAGCCTACCTACAGGGGATATTCAGACAACCTACCTTGCGCTGTATAGCCTGCTCTCCTGGCAGCCACGGAGGGGATCTTCTGCCCCCTTAACCATGGGTCATCCCCAGCCTTTCCCCAAAGTTACCTCCAGGGTCACAGTTACCCATGGCCTTGCTTCAGTGCCACCGAGTGCCAGTTTCTTGTCCCCTGCCACAGTGCACACAGACAGCCCCAGGAGGAGAAGCAGGGTGAGCAGCATGGTGAGCCCTGCTCTGCGCTGGGACCCTCCAGGACTCCCTCTCAGCCTGAAAACACGGCCCCCAGCAGGCCCAGTTCTCTCTCTGGCTCCTTTCCTGTAGGTGAGGGACGCTCCACCGGTTCTTTGTCCTTCCAGCTACCCTGTTTCTTCCTTCAGCTTATCTGACCTCCCAGGGACATTTCCTGTGACTCCCCGCCCTCCTTGGCTGGAAGGCCAATGATATTGGGAAGCTCAGAGGAGGGTCCAGACCTCATCCATCACCACCCCCAGCACTTGATCCCAGAGCTTAGCACTCTGATGCAACAGCGGCCTCACCCTTGGCTGTGTTCCCTCTGGTGGCAGGTGCACAATGGGGCAGTGTGTGGGACCTGGAAGCTGGAAGCCCCAAGGGCCTTTGTCATCTTGGAAATGGGGAGGGGAACCGTGTGGCTCCTCCCTTCCTGGGGCTGTGCTCCCCTGTAAAAGAGGCCTCTCCCCCAAACGTAGCCAGCATTTCATCACTTGTCTCCCCTTCCCGTCACTGAGCCCCACTTCTTCAGTGTTCCCCCTGTCAATAGTCCCCAAATGTACATAGAAACACAGGTCTTGCCCTCAGAGAAAGAACACAGTGCTTAGCAGAACAAGGCTCCTCACAAGTGAGGAACTGGGATTTGCTAGAGAAACGGCTTCCTGCTCGTGTCATCGGCCCTAAGTTACCTTCCCACTGTTGTCAAAGCGATCTTTCTAAAGCCTTAACCTGACCTGTTTCTCCCCACTTACAAGCTTCCAACATCTCCCCATTGCCCTTGACATAAAGTTCAAGCTCCCTAATATGGCATTCAAGGCAGGCCCTGCTTCACTTAGTTCCGCCCTGTCTCCATCCATCCATCCATCCATCCATCCATCCATCCATCCATCCATCCATCAGTGTAGAACAAGGGACCTGCTTTGCGGTCAGAGAGACCTGAATCCCAGTCCTAGCTCCACCACTAAGTAGCCGTGTGGCCATAGGCACATTACTTAGCCCCTCTAAACCTTAGAACCCTCATCTGTAAAACAAGATTAATAATAGCACTTATTCCAAAGTTGTTTGAAGATGAAATGTGATAATGCATGTGAAGCACTTAGCACAGTGTGGAATGGTAAATATTTAATACCTGTTGACTATTATTACTGTTATAATTATTGACACTGGATGAGGCACTTGGCCACAGAAGATGAATAAGCCACTGTCTCTGTCCTACAGCTTCTCACAGTCCAGGAAAGGAGACCCCTGGTTGGCAGATAAGCTAGGTTCAGCTAGAGCGGGCATAGAGATGGGAGCAAGGGAAGGGCATGTCCCTTCCCAGTTTGCCCTGTAACCATTTGGCTCCAGACAGGTTGAGATTTCTCACCCTCATGGTTTGGCCTTGGCTGCTCCCTCTGCCTGGACTTGCCTTTCCACCTGGTAGACCCCCACCCATCCTTAAAGGTCCAGCTTCATGGTCACCTCCTCAGCAGAGTTTTTCTGTCTCTACTCCTAACTCCAGCAAGAATTATTTCACCCCTTTCCTGGGCTTTCCCAAGCACCTCTCACTTGTATATATGTCTTGCAGCTCTGAGTCCAGGCCAGTGAAGGCAGAGATGAGTAGGGGGGAGTGCGGAGGTTTGAGGGAGGACAACCCCACACACGCCACCCTCACCCCTCCTGGGAATCTCCTTGGTGGATCCCAAACCTGGTGGCTTCAGAATCCCTGCATTTGCTAAAATACAGATTCCCGGCCTAGCCCTGTTCTGACACAGCCATCCCTGGTCTGTGGGTCTGTCTCAACACTCCAGGTGGCAATCAGTCAGTCTCCTGTGGAGCTTCCCAAAGGCAGGGCGCTTAATACCTCACATTCCACTGTGGGTTTTTCACTGTTGTTAAGTTCTTCCTTACAGGAAACAGCTTTGCTTTTTATCACCTTCATTTTACAGATGTGGAAACTGAGGCAGGTTGGGCTTGCTCTAGGTTACACTAAGAATTGGCGGTGGACTAGCATCCGGGACCCCCAGTGGGCTGCTCCCCACCTCCCACTGGGGCCTCTGCCCACAAGGGCAAGCCTCTGTGCTAAGGAGATGGCTTCCCATTCTGCATGTCCAAAGGGGGTGACCTTAGGAACTAAGGAGTCTCTCTGAGTCTGTTTCTCCACCTGAAAATTGGAGCCGCCCCTCATTGGATGGTGGTAAAGATTTCATGGATTCTCACCCTTCAAGAGCTCAGCACAGGCACATAGTATGCGCTCAATTAATCCTAACTTTTTGGATTTGAGTGACTATTTGAGCACTCAAACCCTGGACCTCAGAGTCAGTTTCCTGGCCCCCCAGGAACCATCCTGCGTGGGGACAGGATGTGGTGGGTGCACAGCGTGGAGGTGGCAGGGGCCTTGGGGCAGAGGAGAGGGAGGCGGGAAGAAGGGAGAGAGAATCCCAGAGATCCGGAAGGCCTGGAGGACGCAGGGCCCAGGCTGGAAACCGCGGCTATTTACAGCACTGCCCTCGGGCTGCGGTCGGGCTGGCGCTCGCGGCCTTGGCGATGGAGCC